GAGGTAGAGTGTACGCACACACACACACTCACACTTACACACACACACACCCACACTCACACACCCACTCACACACACACACACACACACACACTCACACACACACATAAGTATGTCCACCAGCCCGTGGAGGTCAAACTCCATGGGATGATTACGGCGGTGGTCGAGGTAGCATGTACACACACATACACTAACACACACAAATACTAACACACGCACACTCACACACACACTCACACACACACACACGTACTTCTCCATAAGTATGTCCACCAGTCCGGGGTTATCAAAGTCCATGGGGCGGTTGTGGCGGTGGTCGGGGTAACGAGCTCCGGCCGGGCTGCGACGGTGTCTGGGCTCTGGTTCGTACTCATGATGGTCCAAGTCTTCCACCTCGTTCTGATGTAAGAAAAAAAACAACAAATGTAACTAAAAGCAAACTGCAGCTCGCGGGCCAAATGAGTTTTGTACGATCCTCGTTCTGATGTAAAAAATGAAACAAATGTAATTAAAAGCAAGCTGCGGCTCGCGGGCCAAATGAGTTTTGTATGGTCCGCAGAGACATTTGGGAAATTGTGGCATATGACTGTGTTTTGTAAATATCCGAACATAAATGCAAATAAAAAAAGAGTACTTTCACCTATCTTACTATAAGTCATGCAAACATTATAAATAAACGCAAATAAAAGAATGTGTTTTCACTCCATATATGATAAGACACATAGGACCTGAAGGAAACGGTACTAATTGAAAAAAAAATTGGAATTTACACAAATCTGATCAGAATTCTTTCACAGGCAAAAAAAAAATCGGAGAGCTCCAATTTCATCAGAGTACAGTCAAACCTACTGTAATGGCCACCTATATAAGACAATCACCTGTACAAACAGCCACTTCACATTTCTCCTTCGCATTAAAAAAAAATTATTATGCTGACATGGTCTCCCCCTCCCCCCACCCCCTAGGGCAGTGCCACTGACTGAGGTGTCTTTAGGCCATTCCCAAAGGGAGGATATTAACATGTTCTTATGCACAGTAGAACAGTAAACGGTCTGATTTATCAATGTCTTGCTCAGTAGAACAGTAAACGGTCTGATTTATCAATGTCATGCTCATACTGTGCCGGAACAACATAGGGAGAACTGCTGCCTTTTCTTTCCCCATCCTTCCACACCAGGGCACTCGCCAACCACCCACAGGTGAGTGTCTTATACAGGTGGCCTTTACAGCAGGCACGACAGTCGTAGTTCCCCTCCCCGTGACCCTCACCTTCCTGGGGTCGCCTCCCTCCAGGATGTTGGCTGCGTCGTCATCGTCCGACCAATCGCTGAACACTTTCTCGTCCTGCTGACCGTCGTCTGAGGGGAGACAGAAGCAGATCATGTCATGGTACCACAGGTGGCAGAGGAAAGGAAACTAGGGACCCCCTCTCCCCCAGGTGGCAGAGTGAAGTATACTTGGGACCCTCCCCC